CACACACACACACACACCTGTCCTCCGCCGTTCAGCTTGTTGGACAGCTTGACTTTGCTGAAGGACATCGGCGCCTTCATCCAGTGCGCACCGAAGTTCGGGGAGTCCGGGTGGATGTAGACGCAGCTGGGACTCTGAGGCTCCGGTTTGCCCCCCGGGACCCACTCCCCGTTCACGTACTTCCAGCGGTTGTTGTCCGCGGCTACAAAATCCAGCAGCACCGAGTACATGGCGTTCGGGTCCAGTCCGGAGACGCTGATGCGCAGAACCGGAAACATCCTCCTGGAGAACAGAAGAGTTTTACAGTTTTACAGTCCTTTTTTAWAATCATTTTAGGCTTCACGTGTTTGTTATTTTATTTTAAATTAAATTACAGTCCTTTTCCAAACGAACTGTCCTTCTACTTTCTACAAACTTGGTGCGTAAAACGTGTCCAAGCCGCGCGCAGCCGCCTCTTACCTCCCTGTCTTGGTGACGATCATCTCGTTGGTTAATTCTTTAAATTTGCTCCAAAGCTCCGAGTCCTCCAGGGTCAGTTTGATGTCCCTCTCCGACGCGTCCCCCTTCTCGCTGCCCTTCTGGAACTCGCTCTCCACGGCGCTCAGGAGGTGCTCCAGCCGCTGGTCCGGGTTAGAGGAGCTCATGTTTCCAGGTCAGGAACAGCTGTGGCCTCAAGCTCATACTGGTTTCTGAACCCTGGGGCCTCCTCATTTATATGGGCCCCCAGGGACCTCAAGGGGGACAGGGGCGTGGTTTGTGCGCGCACACGGKTTTTGGACTCCGCCCACCCCAGCCTGAACTTTAATTTATGCTACGCATTGCAAAGTCTTGATAAAAGGTAAAAATAATCATTTTCAAATAATTCTTAAAGTAAGAAACAAAATCTACAGAATGTTTTCCTCAAACTCTCCTTTAATGAAACATTTGTAAGATCAGACACCAGCAGACTTTGTTCACCTGTAAACTGAGTCAGATRAGTGACTGATTGACCTGATTCATGTTTCTGCTTCATCCATGACTTTTATTCTCCACATTTGTCTYACTCTGTTTCCTTTTTCCTTTTAGTCACGCAGCAGGTTTCCTCTCATTTTCCCAGTTAAACATTAGTTTAGTTCAGACTTTATTGAACATAATGAATTTAAAAGAATAAACAAAGTTATACAGAAAAGAAAAACATTATTTAAAACAAAAAGCAAACAAAAAAAGAACAATAATAAATTATATTTACACGTTCAAAGGAGTGGGTAGAAGTATAAACTTATTTTTTACATCCAAATCATCCATAATTATAANTGGATCATGTGGACACTGTGGATCATGTGGATCGTGTGGACTCTGTGGAACATGTGGATCATGTGGACTCTGTGGAACATGTGGATCATGTGGACACTGTGGATCATGTGGATCGTGTGGACTCTGTGGATCATGTGGATCATGTGGATCATGTGGACTCTGTGGAACATGTGGACACTGTGGATCATGTGGATCATGTGGAACATGTGGATCATGTGGAACATGTGGATCATGTGGAACATGTGGACTCTGTGGATCATGTGGACACTGTGGATCATGTGGATCGTGTGGACTCTGTGGAACATGTGGATCATGTGGACTCTGTGGAACATGTGGATCAGGCTGATTTGGAGGCAGACGTGAGTTCAGCAGATGGTGAAACGAAGCTTGTGTCGGTGCAGCAGCCTGCTGCCTGCAGAGGACCTCACAGTGAGACTGGATTAATAAAACAGGACAGGACAGGTGTTTGTCAGACCTCCAGTCCTGAAACTGTGAATCCTGAAGGTGTCCCAGCAGCTGAAAGCCTGTTTGAAGCTGCTGCTTCAGACACTGAAGAAGCACTAAAACCAGCAGCTGAGCCTCACAGAGAGCCTCCTGTGTTCGAGGACACCTCCAGCTCTGCAGCTTCATCCAAACAGTCACCAGGAGAGGAGCCACACAAACATCTGTTCACGTCTGCAGCTGCTCTGTCACATCAGGTGAGTCAGGTCTGCACTAAAAACCATCAGTTACTAACTTTTACTAAAACACCTGTTTGGCTTTCACCTGTAGGACACCTTCAACAGGCTGCAAGAACAAGAAGTCATCAGTTTGTTAGAAGGACCCCAGCAGTTCCTTAAAGTCAGGTACATGAAATAAGAAGCAGCTGCTGCAGTTAGTGTTGATCAACCTGCTGCGACGCTCAGCAAACAGCTTCAAACATGTTGGTTCTGCAGCTCTGCTGGACCTGAAGAGGACCTGAGGGACAGTCAGCACTGGGCTCCACTCCAGTCCCACATCTTTACCAAGCTCAGCTCTTTGACGAGCTTCCTGCAGGAGCAGCAGAGCATGACCAGCTCCGAGCAGGGACACAACCAGCAGGTAAAAACCAGCAGGTAACAACCAGCAGGTAACAACCAGCAGGTAATAACCAGCAGCAGGGACACAACCAGCAGGTAAAAACCAGCAGGTAAAAACCAGCAGGTAACAACCAGCAGGTAACAACCAGCAGGTAATAACCAGCAGCAGGTAAAAAACCAGCAGGTAAAAACCAGCAGGTAAAAAACCAGCAGGTAAAAACCAGCAGGTAAAAAACCAGCAGGTAAAAACCAGCAGGTAAAAAACAGCAGGTAAAAACCAGCAGGTAAAAAACCAGCAGGTAAAAAACCAGCAGGTAAAAACCAGCAGGTAAAAAACCAGCAGGTAAAAAACCAGCAGGTAAAAAACCAGCAGGTAAAAACCAGCAGGTAAAAAACCAGCAGGTAAAAAACCAGCAGGTAAAAAACCAGCAGGTAAAAAACCAGCAGGTAAAAAACCAGC